AGCCTTTGTTCTATAGATTTGTCCGCGTAATGCGGACTTTTCCCTGTCGGGTGTGCCGTGCAAGTGGGTCTTTAGTTGTCTCTGCTTGCTGCTGCCCTGAATACCGCCCCCTCTGGTTGCTGCCCCGAATGTCACGCCTCCGCTCGCGGGGGACGCGGTGGGGATGATGGTAGTGGTGAGCAAAGAGGGCCTCACGCGGCCCTGCATCATTAGCGCGCGGCGGAGTTGCATGGCGCCAATGCGGTCCGTGCTTAGCGCCCCCGCCCGCCCCGTGCATTATGCAGCACTATAGCTACCGTCACGCGCTCGGGCATCCCCCGCGGCGGGGGTGTGACAGCGACGCAGCGGATATGGAAATGCATGGACGCAAGGGCAGCGACGGTCGCGAGCTTAATGGTGAATTGCTGCCCTCCTTTCATTCACGTGCTGGGTGCACGGAGGTGAGTACATTGATCCACAAGGCGAGTGGAATAGACTGATGAGAGGAAGACACACGCCCCGGCCTACAGCTAGGCCGTGAGAATGACCATGCCGGAACAAAGGATAGGGGTCTGCCAAAGCGCGCGCCCCACGTGCATTTGCACCACCTGACCGTGCAGCAAGGTCCACCAGCTAGCACGACGCGTAGTGTCCCCAGCCTCATTGATTGATATCAGCAGCCGTACAGATCTGCTTCATCAATCGTATGCACATACTTGCCCTCTTCTTGCACCGCTCTATATTCCACTTGTCCTGCTCACTCTACACTCTTCGCTGTCATGCGCTCGCCAATTAGCTGACCCGAATTAATGAAGCTTGTCTCCCGCAAGTTGGCTTTAGCTTCGAAGGTCACGTGCGCAATGAGGTGGGAGCCGCGCACTGTGGGACGGCAGAACCGGAATTCAGGTGGCTTGAGCCAATGCAGCGAAGGCGTCTTGGAGTTGCGACACAACCTCCATATCAGACTGCCGTGACGCAATTCCGTAGTGCTGCTGTTTGAGGTGGTGCTGATGTCCCATTGCTCTCCTCTCTGTCTTCCTGGCCTATCATCCCCAATGGACGCTGCTCATGCTCTCCCTTTAATCCGACTTTTGGATCTGCAGACCAGCGCGACCCCACCACACACGACCAGCACAAGAAACACCGATACCAGAGCATGGCTTTCGTCGACCCAGCTCTGCAACACGCTTACGATGGCCAACGTCTTTACGTGGACGCAGCCGCCACTCTCAATTCCCTTCCACGCGCTCCAGAAAAGGCTGCACACGGCTTTGAGATTGTGTGTCTTGGCGTAGGAGGGGGGCCACTGGAGACTGACTGCAGCTGCTACGCCATCAAGACTAGGGGGACCTCTTGGCTGGACAGTTATGTGGTCATCGAGGGAGGTGAGTTTGGTGAGCGAGGAGATGGACTAGCTGGCGCCTGCGAATGTGCGGACGCGCAAGAGATGGAGTCAATGGCCCATGTATATAAATTCAGATTCGAAGCACGAATCGCTTTGGCACCGAGGTGCAATACGGTTCCGTTTTGACGCTGAGCAAGTCCTCTCTGTGTGCAACCTAGGCTCTTGGTTGGGTGGCATGTCTCGTGTCCTCGAGCTTCAAGCGAGTCATCAATGTGCCGGCTTTGGCGACTTGGCTCTCTCTTCATCGCCGCCATCTCCTGCAAATGTCTCCAATCCTAGTGGATGGACGAGCAAGGCCAGCAGCTCCAGCGTCTCTTCGAAGGTTGAATATTTGGCTTCGCGTGCAGAGGCATTCCTGATCTCTCACGCGCATCTGGACCACACGTACGGTTTGATACTGGCCAGCGCAGTGACTTCACCTCCTAAGCCGGTGTACGCCTTGGAATCGCCCTTGACAGCTTTTGAGGGCATCTTTGGCACCGGGGTATGGCCGAGCGTCGTTCGCAGAGAGCACTCTCCTGAGATCGCCCAAGGAGTCGATGCTGGAATGAAACCACCGCGCACAGCTCAGAGTCAAAATGCAGCTACTGACACGGGGGTGGGCTACGTGCTACGAGTGTGAGTTGTAACAAAGTCCGATGGGGATTGAGAGACGGTCTAAGAGTGTCATGCGGATCATCTAAGTCACCGCACGAGGCCCGTCCCTGCCGGTGCAGTGGCAAGCAACCGTGCGGACAAGTAACCTTAGTCCATGAGCTTACGTGGCTTTCTCATTCTTCATAGTCTGCAACCTCGGCGCTCACAGTCACTCACCAAAGAAATTTCCGTTCTCGCCTTCGAGCTCTCCCACGGATTGTGCGCTGCGTGCAATGGCAAAGGTTCTGGCTCTGCAAACATCCTTGCTGCAGACCACGCGCACACCGCTTCAGGACCGCACGAAAGGCTGCGGTCCACTGCGTTCTTCGTAAGTTTGGAGACGGCATGCTGCCCACGTACCACCATCTTTGTGCTTCTTCTTGCGCTGAGCTCGACGGAATCGTGTCTCTCATCGCAGCTCACTAATGTGGCGACGGGCCAAAACCTGCTCCTTTTCGGTGACGTGGAGACTGACCGCCTCTCACGGACGGATCTCAACTATCAGGTGTGGATGCACGCCTCGGAAGCTATTTGCCAAGGAAGACTGAGTACCATCATGATCGAGTGTAGCTTCGACTCCTCACAGCCTGAGGAACTGCTGTTCGGCCATATGAACCCTGCCGGATTGTACGAGGAGCTGAAGGTCCTCGCGAGGCTTGTCGCAATCCGGACAAATACAGAACACGCCGGCCGGCGGGACAGGGCCCTTCAAAACCACGCCTTTAGTCGGACCACCGAAATGGACGACGATTACACGGCGAAGCGAGGTGCCAAGGCGCTCCAAGGTCTTATCGTGGTAGTCACTCACGTCAAAGCTTCAATATCGCCGGCGAAGAGGCCTTCTGCCGACGACTTCAGTGCCGTACATGTACCTTTGGAGGTAGGACCTCACGACATGAGGGACCAGATCTTCCGCGAGTTGCTCGCTCTCGAGGAGAAGTTTGGACTAGGCGTGCGATTCGTGATGGCGGTGCAGGGCATGAAGATTGGTGAGTCTCGAAGCCCCGAGCCACGTGTTTGCCAGATGCCCGCGCAGCATAGCTGGTGCCAACTGAGACGTCAGAAATGCCCGTGCCGTCTGGGCGCTAGGATTTCAGGCGAGTCTCAAGAGATGATATGGCTAACCTGACTGCTCAACTTCAACCCTTCCCGTCAGATTGTTGAATTGATGAGCATCGGAGCCTCACCTCCCCCCTTCGATCCTCTACCCTTGCCGGTTGGAACCATCATAGTCGGCTGAGGGTGCCTGTGCATGCCGCCTTGACAATGACAACCACCAACTTCGATGAGCCATGCGTCGCGCTTCAGAAGCAACCACCCTCGAAAAAACCCCAACTAGCCGCTTTCATACTCGCTTGAAGTCTGCCTTTCTGTATAGTATCGTCGTGCCCTGTTGCCACTCAAGTCACCTGATGCATCGCAATGGAAATAATGCACTACGTCCCCTTACACAAAAGCTTTGGGTCTCGGCTCACTCGCTTCAACTTCCAGCGCAGATTCAAGAATCATACTCTAATTGATAATGTCAGTCCGACGTGCCCTTCTCGCCCTGCCGGCCTGCATCTTCTGACTCGGCCTCGCTACGTACAGCACTTCCCTGTGACTGCTCCCGAGGTTCATGAGATGCAAGGGCATCATCCAAAAGCGTAGGCATGAAACGACCAAGCCTATCCGCGGTCAATGTCCACAAAGCGCTCTGTTGAGGGGTGCGCGCGTCCGCGGTGTTGGCATCCGCAGGGCGCACGAGCAAATCAGATGCTTGCATCACGAGCAGAGCGTTCTTCAAATTTTCGGGAATGGCCTCCGTCTGGATCACATCGACAAGTCGTTGTCAGAATGAGCAAGTCTTTTGTGCAATGGCATCTTTGCAGTCAGCGAGCAACCACTCACCAATTGGTCTTTCTTACTGGCATGCATGAAGCGGTCCAGCAAATCGAGCAACTGCAGCCATAATTGCTGGAAGCCTTCATCAATACCAGCTGAGGCCAGCGCACCGAGATAGTGCAGAAAAGCTTTGCAGGTGAGGGCGCATGCACGCATCCGCGTTTCCTGCATCCCTCCTGGTCCGAGGTCCGGGTCCTTCTTGTAGATGGCAGGCTTCAGCAGCTCTTCAAGGGTGGGAAAGAGGACGATTGTAAATATCTGCGCAAGAGGAAGCTCGGCTGGATCCGCGTCATGCAACACTTCTTCAGCCAGCACTGTTCGTTGCAAATGCGTCAAGGCTGCTTGTCTTGCAGGTCGGTGTCCATTGACACACTGTGCAGCCAGTGATAGCATCAGAGTGATCCACGTAGAACACCACGCCTCGGATGGCGGGAGGCGAGAGGTCCGAAGAAGCCGAGAAACCGATGTCCTGACGCTCGCCAATACCTCAATCGCTTCCAGTCCGCGCTCTTGGCATGCGGTTTCGTACTCGGCGAGCTCCTTTTTCTCCGTCAATGTGCGCCGTTGTCCACTGCGAGCTTCTTCCGCACGCCAGCCAGTGCAGTCGGCATTCAAGGCGAAGTCTTGCAGCATGTGAATGACAGTTTCAAAATTATCGTTCATCAAACGCTCCTCGGCAATTTGACGAATGATACTTATTGACCTCCTTGCAGAGCGCGCATTTCGAGTCGCTCCTTGATCTGTGACCAGGCTAAGGACGAGACTCCACTCGGTTTGTGACCGGGCAAAGCCGGGATCGCTGCGCAGGACTTGCGCTAGCCCGGCAATCAACTGCGAGCTGACTGCTTGACGGAGCTCCTGCGGTATCGAGCGGAGAGAGTCTAGTGTAACAAAGATTTGATCCCTCAAGGCTCCTTCGGCCAGCGGAGACACTCTCTCGATGAGTCTCAAGAGCGAGACCACAGCGCGCTCAATCAGCATGGGATGGTGGGAGAGAGGCGCCTGCAGCAAGACAGAGATATGCCCAGAGGCAATATTCCAAGCTTCTTGCATCGCCTGATCATCTGCAGAGCACGCGGTAGTTGTGAGAATTTCCAGCACAAAGACGGACGCAGGTTCGTAAGCTAGTTGACGGCGCATTGTGGAGCCTGCACTAGCGATGTGAGATGTAGGTGTCGAACGGCCTGAGCTGCTTTGATCTGTATCCTGCACTCTGCGCAGAGGATCCGCGCTTGCTGCGCGCAATTGATCGATACTTGTCTTGTCGGCCAAGTCGCGTAAGGCGTGCAGCGCTGGCAATAGACTTGGTCCAGCCAGCCGCAATACCTGTGCCCACAGCTCGTCGATGCGGCAGCTTGCGATGCAGTCGAGCGTACAAAGGCTTGATTCCACGTCTTCAGCTGTGACGTCGGGTGCTGCTGGCTCTTGAGCCGAGGAATATGGTGAGAGTAGGTACGAAGAAAGAGTGCTGAATAAACCGCCTCCCTGCGCCCTCGGGTCCTGGGGTGAGGGCCCCAATGGTTTCCTCGGTTTCAAGGGTATGGGGACGCTATGCGTCCCGGCGTCCACATCGTCGGGCCATGCAAAGTCCTGCATTTGAGACATCGAAGGGGGCAGAAGCGAGGACACGAACATATTTTTGAGCATTTCGAAGATAGGCGACCATCCTGTCCGAACATTCACGGCGTTGCCTTGCGCTATCGTGAAGAGAACGACTGCGGCAAGCTGACCCTTGAAGTTGGCTCCAAATCGAACCGACAAGGGAGAGACAGTGATCGCTTGCCCATCCACTTCCACCTCCGCATTGTTGGTCAACGCGCCTCCTCCAGGAACCTGGCCATCCAGTAGACCCGAAGCACTGGCTAGTCCTTGCAGCATGAAGTCGAAGAGCTCGCCCATGTCGAAAGTGCCCGCCAAGACAGCGCATTGTCTGAAGCCGCTAATGGCTCTCTCGAGCAAAAGTTCGTCGTGGAAGGAGGAGAAAGCGTGAGCTATGCTTGCGACAATCGGGCGCCAGGTAGCTGTGAACATTGCCTTGTCGAAAGCTGAAGTGACGGGCGATACGAGACGTCCCGCAGTGCGTGCCCTTCTAAGGATCTCCTTCCATGTGTAATCAAACCCTAGCTGTCCAACGTGCTCTTCAGGCATGACAATCTCTCTTTTGCGGATGCTATCGTAAATCGTCCCAAGGTACTCAATGTCGAAATCTTTGCCATCGTTGACGCCTCGCAGATTTCGCCGGTAGTCCTCGGCCGTCATGCGCGACCTATTCTGCGGACTGTGAAGATCAGTGTTGAGCATGATGATGGAATATGCTAGGACGTATACCGCATCCTCGCTGCGAATCTCAGGAGGACCAGCGGCAAAGTAGAATTTGGCGAATGTCTCGGTGATACGATTGATCTGCTGCGACTCGCCGGGCAAACGGAATGTTTCGAGCATCTCGCGCATCGCGTCTGCGACAGGCTTGTCCCTGAAATCGAACAGGCCGATGAAAGCCTCCAGGACTTCAATGTTGTCAGGACGAGAAATGTAGTCTCCGAGGAGCTTTTTGTCGAGTCTTGGACAGGTCTTCAGAAATCTTGCGATGCTCTCTGCTTTGCTGAGGCCATCTCGCCCGCTCGTATCGATGAGGCCTTGGGCCTGCAGGAAAGTCAGACCGTCCTTGGGCTTCGCATTGAAACGCGCAGCGCCTGCTAGCAGCTCGGCTTTCTGGATCTTGCTGTCGCTAAGTGCTTGCACGTCAACACTCGGGCTGCGGTGCGACTCTGAGTGGGGCGAAGAGCCATCTATGAGCGCTTCCTGTCTAGCAGACATGTGGGAAACAAGCGTAAGAAGTAGATCGAGGGCAAAGAGCTGCGTGCTGTCTTCCGAAGTAGGGTGCAGAGGATTTGAGGCGTAGATGGCGCGGCACAAAAAGCGTATGAGATGTTCGTACAGGTTTTCGCAATCGACGTCGCAGTCAAAATTGGCCCAGAGCTCGACAGCAATATCACTGTCCGAAGCTTGCGAGTCGGGCCTGTGCGTTCGACAAATGAGTCCCAGGGTCTCTAGCAGCAGCTCGCGCGCCTCACCTGTAGCCGGTGCGCGCTCTGATGTCCGTGGTTGGGGCGGGGGTGGTGGCGGTGGAGGAACCGCAAGCTGCTTGCCATCACGTGCCTCTTTCCCCGATGAAGCGCGGCCCGCCCCAGGGTGGCTCGCTTTGTTGGATAGGCTGGGAAGAGCTTCATCGCTCCAAGGCTCCAGAGCAAGTGGAAAAGCGGGCGCAAGTCGGTCGAGCAGGTAATCCAACAGATATTCTGACTGCAACTTCACTTGTTCTCGCATCGTCTCGAAGATGATGGCGATGGCCCGCAAAGACAGCGTGAGAACAATCGGGTGATCAGAACGGGTGAGCTGGAAGAGGTACTTGCAAGCGGAGTCCTGCACGCTAGCTCGCAGGGTAGGGAACCTCGCGATAGAGTTGGCCGAGACCTCGAAGATGGAACAGAGCATCGAGAGGCCGAGAAGGCGCATGGTATCTGTGTGCTGAGCGTTGTGAGGATCCAGCAGGGAGATGATGACACGCAGGACCTCTTTGATAGCCGGGAGACCATAAGGCTCTACCTGACCGAGCATGTCCATCTGGTCTGAGTTGGCAAGGTCAGCGGACGTTGGGTGCGCTTCGCCCGCGACATAGTTGGGCGAATCTTGTGCCTCGTGGCCTGCCAGAGCATCAGAGGGCAGCGCCGCATCGCCCTTCGCTTTGCCACCCTCTTCTTCCTCTTCTGCCTCCTCATCGGCTTCCGCCTCGCCGATCGCTTTGAGCTCTTGCAAGGTGGCCGCGGCGGCCGCAGGTACTGCAACACTCTTCGGATCGGGCATCGTCATGCGCCGCATGCGCTTCTCATCGTCCGCCTTGTCCTCTCCCACAGGATCTGCCGCAAGAGTCGCGTGCTCTGGCTCCACTTGTGACATGCCATCGTCTCCTGCAAAAGCCTCGTCGTCGGTAGTAGGTATGGCGTGGAGGCGCGAGAAGAGTGTACGAGCCATGGCAATCATCGACTGCTCTGCTGTCTTGCGTAGCAGGTCTGCAAAGGGAATACGTTTCAGGTGGGGTGCCCAGTTGCAGCTCGAGGAGATTCCGAAATCGCACTCACCACTAAGTCGAGTCTGGCAGCACATGCTCAAACCTGTCTCTACCATCTCGCATATGCTCTCGTCACCCAGAATATTCGCAAGCGGCTCGTTTCCCGAAGCTCGATTGGCATCTCCGCATACAAGCTCACGCATGACCGCGAGGATGCGCAGCAGCACCAGCTCGTCAGCAGCAGCATCACTGGCTTCGAATCGGCAGTGTGAGACCGCATGGGCGATCTCAGCGACGGCCGATTGGGCGGCTCGGAAGCTGGAAGAGGAATGCGAAGCGCTGTCCAAGTGGTTGGCGGGCAGCTTGATGATGCGGTAGAGCAGGAGGCGATGCACCGCTTGCAGAGCAGCTGACGTGATCGGACCAGTTGTGCGCGGGGAAAGAATCACTCGGAGGAAAGGGGCCAGAAGCACGAGAAGGGGGAGATCGCCTAGTGCTGCGGGAGAGCAGAGATGATCAGCAAGAGGGAGAACGACTGGACGGAGGCGTGGGGTTTGAGACTCACTTTGCTGCGCTCTCAGCTGTGCACGAAGCACGGTAAAGCCATTGAGCAGTCCTGGCAGGCTCTCGTCGCGGTCACCGGCGTACGCGGCTGACTGGCTCGTGAGAATGACGGAGCCTAGGCTCTGATTCGGTCTAGCTGCACTTGCGGTCAAGCGTGCAGAGTGGGATGTTGCAGGAGTGAGACCATTGGACGATGCCGCGCCGTCTGTAGCGGACGAGGTGGACGCTTCAAGCGATGCGACCGCTGCTGCGACCGCTGCCCTCGTGAGAGAAGCTGATGTCGTACCTGGAGCAATGGCACCTGCGCCAGTGCTAGAGCTGTTGCTGCTGCTACCGAGAAAAGACGATGAAGAGGCGACCCGAAGTTGCTTGCGGAGCGCAGAAGTAACGGTTGTGATCTCAGAGTGCAGCAAGTGCAGGGGATCCAATTGCACTCCGCCAGCTCCAACGTCACTCAGAGGTGCAAAGCTGGTGGCAAGGTTCCCGTGATCCATGACGTGACCTTGACCTGCTCTTCAGTCAACAGGCGTCTGACTACTCTACTTCTACTCGTCGATGCAATCAGCTGAAGATCGGGTCGCACAGGCCAGCAGAGCCTTGTCTAGGCAGCTTCCGGGCCAGAACCGACAGGTAAAACAGGAACGCCGGGTCTTAAGGTGGAGGCACGAGTGTACGTGGAATGGTGACTTGTGAGGTGTGATGGTTTTGGTGGAAAGCCCGCACCGCACTGGTTGTGAGTGGACTAGCTTCGACTAAATCGTGAATGCTCCAGTCACAAGTACACGTCACGTCCATCACCTACAGTCAAGAGTACAGCTGATGGATGCTGTAGAGGCATGTGCATGGGCTGCTGCGCCTCGCTAGCGCACTGTAGCGAAGATCACGTGCAGCATTCGGCCTCCTCAAATTTGCTGAGTGCTCACGCAACCTGCCACATTCGTGATGTGCATTTACGATCAAAAATCGTGCTTCCCTCTCCAGGCGAGACCTCGCAAAGGAATACACAGCGAATCATTCGCGGCATGCATTGCGCGCGCGCATAGCCGCAACAGTGGACGACAAACAACACCAGATCGGACACATCGCCAAGAAGCAGCAGTCACCTCTGAAGGCGTGACAAGGTTTGAAGCAGCGACAGACGTGGCGTCGGCGAGGGGGCATGCGCGCGATTGGTGAAAACTCTTCTTGTCTATGCTTGATCTCCGTGCTGACCAGCTCCTAAAGGGCCCTGGAGAAACGGACGGAGGCAGGTACGCTTGTTGAGTTCCTTGCAGGTTGACTCTACCTCAAGATCGTCGCAGTTGAACTCACCTGGTAGCGTGTACGGGCAATTGTGAAGTAGAAGACGGCCGCAAATGCAGCAAAGAAGGACACGACCACCGATGCCTAGGTGAATGCATGACCATCAGCTCCGCTTCGCAACCAGCAGCGCGGTCCGACACGCCTCACATAATTCATCGAGGCCGGGGTGATCGATGCTGTGGTTGGAAAGCAGAACAAAATAATGCTAAACAAGACCCATGCAAGAGCCACGCTACGCGATTGGGGACACAGGTTAGCATCGACGAAGTGGCACATCTTGTCAGCTGGATTGATCACGGAAACGAAGGGTGACACGCACACATTGGCGATCCAACCCAATCTTCCAAGTCCCCACGAAGCATATCGGACTGGTGCACGTCTTCTGCTGAGCAACATAGCGATGGGCACAACGTACGATACGCCGAGAAGAATCTGTGGGGGACTCGATGACGTTGCAAATCAATGGTTTGCCAGGGTAAAGTCTTGTCCATGCAGATACTCACAGTACAGGAGCCCGTAAACGCATTGAATGCAGATGTGGCGCCGAGATAGATCAAGCCCAGGAGCCCAATGATGACCGTAGAGACGATCAAACTATTGAGTGGAACAATGAGCCGCGGGTCTACCCTTCTCAGCCAACGGCTTCCCGGCAGTCCTGTGAAAGGCGAAGATGCGTCGAGCCAAGCCAGCGTTAGTCGAGCCAAAGGCGCGGATGCGACGCTTGAGCATCGCGTGAAATCTTACCGCCATCTCGAGAAAAAGCCCAAATGCATCTGAAAGCAACTGTGAAGGATGAGATGCTCGCAAACAAACCGATGCCAAGGACGAGGAACAAGAGGCCAAATGCTCCGCCTGCAGTGCCAGTAGCTTGGGCAAAGACGTAAGGGATTGGTCCTGAGGCCGCTTCCAAAGCCGCCTCGAGATCAGAGGGCGAAGGGAACACAAACGTCAAAGGCAGAATGAACGCCAAGCCATTCAGAGACGCGACGACCACGGATCCAAGCATCGCTCGTGGCACAGCTCGCTCGGGCTGTCGCACTTCTTCACACAAATTTGATATGGTTCCATAACCTACGAAGTCGCAGAGAGAGGCCTATCAGTGGAGTTCGAGGCGCGGACGATCCATGCAGCTCACCTGTCAGAACGTATGCGGGTGTGAGCAGCCCCACAAACCAGGACCATCCGTCCGGCCAACCCGAGGTGTTGTTCCACTGCACAAACACATCCGACGCGCTCCTTTTCACATCCGACATCGCCAAGGATGTGACGAGGATGATGAGTGAGGCGCCAGCAGTCCACCAGATGCTAGCAACGTTGATGGGCTCAAGCGACTTGCTCTTGACTCCGAAGGCGTTCACTGCCGCAGCGACGAGTAGTACTGCCCAAAAGCAGAGAATCGTCTGCCAAGCTTCAGGGGTCCAATCCTGATCCCTAAACAGCGAAATCGCAGCCATGATGAGCTGTGCTTCTCCGAAAGCGATGGACAAGCAAAGAAGAATGTTAGCGATGCAGCTAAGCCAGCCAACGATGTAGGAAGCGATGATGGCCGACTGCTTGCTGGGCGCCAAATGAGCGGTCCAGACGCTTTAAGATAGAAGACTTGATCAGTGACAAGGTGTGAAAGGACACCAAGTAGTCCTTATTGCTGCTCACTAGACGCCTCCAGACGTAGGATAAAGGCTACAAATCTCTCCGAGAGAAGCAGCGATGGCAAGGGAAACAATTGATAAGAAGATCCAACCCCTAGACACGCAGAGGCAGGGGTGTCGTCAGTACTGGAGGCCTTGCACAAGCATTGTCCTGATGCTACTGGTGCTCACCACACATAGCTGGCAGCTCCTCCATTCACGAGCGCAAAGCTCGCGGATGTGGTGAGACCGAATGGCGCTGCGATGATGCTGGCCCCCATGCCTAGCACCGCTATGGTGGAAAGATTGCGGCGCATCTCAGGCGCATAGCCCAATGCTTCTAGCCTCGTGTCCGCATCCGCACTTTCGCCTTCTTCCACCGCTACGTCGACCTTCTTGTTGTCATCCTTCGTCCCCATCTCTTGCAAAGTGTCCGACATTCTGAGTGTCCCTTGCTCTGTATGATCTCTTGTTGCCTTGCCCCAGAAGGAGAGAGAAGCGTGCTCCGTTCCCGGATGGAGGGGATGGGAATGCGAGCGGCCTCCAGTTGAACGAGCTTCAGGATGGACTCCATCCAAGTTGGAGCATGAGCTTGCAGGCTAATGTGATGGTCGAGGGGAGGGGGGCCTCTAGCAAATCTACTTCCAATCCATGTACAACGAGCCTTGGACAAGTTGCGCGATAAGTGTGGGAACCGAACTCGCCTGAGGCGCCAAGGCGCTTATCTCGCAGTTCCTGCAGCTGCGTGTGCGCGTGAGCATTATAGGCAGCCGCGTGCCCCACGCGCGCAATGCATGCAGCAGCGCAGCATATGCAGCTTCAGGAAGCGTGTTCGTGGAATGGCCCGCGGCTACAAACCCACGATTTCGACCCGCGCCGTATACGCGCGCGTGTTCCCCCCCTCCCCGCACGGAAGCAGCGCCTATAGCTGTGCGAAATTCACGCCATCCTTGCGCCTATATGAGGCAACTGCATCACGACTTCCGTCCATCATCCTCTCGCCTGTCAGAGGACTCTCTCTGGCCTCTGCGCGCCAGCATTAGCACTGCACTAATCGTCAACTGCAGTGCCATCAGCCCACCGCTCCGCTTCAAGGCCTGGCCTGCAAATACGCGCCAGAAAAACGTTGACCTTTGTCACGCGCAAGTCTGGCGGGTCAAAGGAAGCGAATCGCCAATGGAAGAAGCCTTCAGAGCTCCGCTTGTATGCTACCAAGCCTCCTCAAGGCCCCTGTCTAGCGTCGGTGCTCCAGTGCTGGTGATGAGCAGCATTCAGACACAAGCCAAGACTCATCAGTCTGCCTGCAGAGGCGGCGAGTAAGTGTTGTGCACGTCAGGCATAGAGGTAGCGACCTGAAGTGGGCTTCGTGCTGCGAAGATGCTGTTCGCCACGAAATCGGTATTCTTGACACTGCTCTTGGTGCTCTCAACGTCGAGCATACACCCCACCTTCGCGTTGTGGGGCCGGACTGCAGCATCATCGGCGACTCAAGCTACCCGCGATGTTCAACAAGGTGACACTCCGCTTCGGAGCGGAGAATTGTTGCATCCCCAAGCTTCTACAGACGACAATCACATCAATCAAAATGCAGCATTTCCAAGTGAGCATCGTCACGCATGACAACCGCATACATGCTGGCATGTCGTATATCAGAGCTCACATCTTGGCCATCAGATACCGCGCAACTCGACGTGCCAGCCTCAATGTACTCTGCCGTCTTCTCTCATGCGCACGTAGCCCTCCAAGAGTACGAAAAGAAGCCAGACTGCCTCTTGGATGCAGCGTCGCCATCGCACTGCACTGACATCAAAGACAGACAAGGCGCACGAACGCGAGGTGCGTGACTGAGCGTGTTGCGTAGGGCCGAAGTCACCCTTTTGCCATCGATTGTCTTAGACCTCTCATCCAATACAGCTGCCATCGCCATGACTCTATGTGAAATCTCAACAGCAAAATTGTCCGTCCCATTGGAGTGCACACGGCTCGCCGAGCACTCTGAGCCATCAGCTTGTGTAGAGTCAGTATCAGTGCCGCTCCGCACAATCCAGCGGTACTTGGGAAGAACCACCCTGACAAGCACTCACTGTCTGTCGCAGAGCCTTGTCAAGAAGCCCCCAACTATGGGCCAGCTACAGTGGTCACTTGCGCGATATCGCCACGCTGTGTCTTGCATTTGGCCAGTTGCGTGAAGTTGGTCAGTCGCGGTGCATGCATCCTCTGCGGGGCGGTCTGCTGATCAGCTCGCTTCTTTGGGCAGACGAAGCGCGACAGCTGTACGCAAGCTTGGCTCGTGAGAAGAAGGCGCTGCTGGAACTGTTGAAGGCCCGTGAAGCAAGCACCAAGCAATTCGAGCAGCAAGCGCGTGCTCGCATGAACGAAGAAGCGCAGGCCCGTGACAAAGCTGCCACAGACGCTCTCCATGAGGCTGCTTTGAAAGTGAGCAACGCCTTGGGGCGCTGAAGTAATTCAGAGTTCTGACATCACGCTATACTTTTTAAGCACCATTCCCTCGTCGAGGCCCAGCTTAATTCTGTATCAGCAGAGCTGCTGAACTTGGTGCATGGAGCGGTCGACTTCCACGTAGCAGAGCTGACAAACAAAGCGACAGCGCATGTGGCATCGATACTTCGTTCAACAGAGCAGCTCAAGGGTTCACTTTCCGCAAGCATCGACATGAATCAGAAGTCCTACGAATATGGTCTCAAAGCAATGGGACGCCTGCGCGTTGCTTCAAGCGACGCGGGCCACGCTATCGAATCGCTGCGCTCAAGCATCGAGGCTGCTGCGGAGAGCCATCACCACAGGAGAGCTCTCTCTGCAGTGGCGGAGACGGAACACGAGGCTCACGTCCAGCGGCTCAGCGAGGGCCTTGCGAGGCTCAGCGAGAACTTACTGGCGCAGCTAGCCATCGTGAACGCGACCGCTCGCGCTACCGAAGGGTATTCCTGGCAATCGGTGGCTTTGCGACTGATTGGACTGCCAGACATGGGCGCCCCAAGCTTCTGGAACCGCCGAGGCCGTCTCGAGCAGCTCGTTGACACTCTGTCTCCAGGTGAGCACCGTTGGTGCGCATCTACAGCTCGTGTGCTTCCAGTCTCTGACCATTTTGATGTCCCGCCCAGCTTCCTTCGCGGAATCGTTCATGCCTTCGGGTATTGCTACCACCATCGCCTTTTCAGCGCGCGGCCTGGCTTTTATTACGCTGCTCCTGCTCCAAGCAGCGTATTACTGTGCTCGTCATTTGGTGGTGCGTTTCAGTAAAGACGCTTGCGGTGCTCTGAGTCGCGGCTCATCTCGTTCTGACTCGGCTGGCATCTTTAGGGACTAGCTTTGTGTCTGATCGCTCTCTCATCAAAGGCAGCGCGACCACTGCTGGCTCGTATTGGGTCGCGTATGGTGCGACCTGCGCAGGACATTGAGCAAGCCTCTACCTCGAATCCATCGCGACGGAAGACGTCAAGAATCCTGGAAACACGTCCAAAATCTCGTGTCGCTAATCGTCAACGAGAACAAAGGATTCTACAGTTCCTCTTGAATACACCAATTCACCTCACAGTCCCTGACGGCCAAGGCAGGCCGAAGTCACCTCATCCGTTGGCACACAGCCAATCGCCGAGCAGCTCCTCCGCTGCACCTCTATTTTCTCGCAACCAACCCGTACCACCACCATCTCCCTGGTCACGCGCCAGCTCGGTTACAGCAACGGAAGACTAGACATCATTCAGCCTTAAAGTCGTCAAGAGTCAATCATCAGCCGTCAGATCGCCCATACGTCGCCTGCGCATTCATCATCACCTTTCTTCGAGCAGTCTCACCAAAATCGACAACACCTGCCTTCGTGGGTCATCATGTAACCTAGAGCATCCTTTCACAATTGTACTCGGTACGCTCCGCAATCTCGTTCGCCTTCCTACATGCAACTTCCCACGTCATCTGGCCTACCAAGCGCAAGCGGCATGATAGTTTTTGATGCGTTCAAATTCGTGCAGAGCTCAACTGATTGCCGAGCTAGTCCCTTTTATTCGTGGATTTACCACGAATGATAGCCGTTGCCTCTGCGTATGACAGCATGAGCTGACCAATGCTGTGTTCTGGCCGATCGTCTCTCACTGAACGAAAGTCTGGGCTTTCTGGTACCACGCGCATAGTGCCGTGCACCACTCGTTTCTCAAGAAGGCTGTTCATCGAATCCAGGGCTGGCAATGTCAGGTCAGCGTTGACAAGTTGACTTTGCGATCGCACTGCGAGGACACGGCCATGAAGAGTGGTGGCAACCAGAAGCTGGCGCCAAGCTTCTGCTCAAAGCCACACCTCTTTGCTTACAGTGAGCTCCATCCTTCCAACGCGAGCCTGCTTGTTGTCTGTGTATGGTAGTCCATCCAGTATGCAGGTGCAGCATTCTGTAAGGTGGGCAGGCACTGCTCTGCGCAGATAAGCGTATCAATCCTTTTCAACCCTCCGGGCGAAGTTCAGTGCTTTATACTCCTCAGTGTCCTGGTGGCTTGATTGACTCTGTCAAAGCCAGCGTTTCGCGAGCGAAACTGGAAACGCCATGGGTGCACACCTTACGTATGGTCACTAGCACGCGAATGTTGAGACAGGTCATTGATTTGCGAGCATTGAAGTGCCACAGACTTAGGAAGAAGAGAGAGGAGAAACGTGCGTGCATAGGGACATTCGTGCTACTTTTGACAGTTCGTCGATTCTACCGAGAAGCAACGTGACGGGATAAAGTCGATGGACGGTCTCTGTTGCTAGAACTTGGGTGGCCCCTGCTTGAGGGTTCCGGAGGTGATGGAATTGAGGATTCTTGTATAGTGGCATTGAGTCAGTCGGAAGAGGTTGAACCACAATTTGATGCGGACCGTGGTCCATGCAGCGTCGTTGCAACGAGACACAGGTGACGGCACATGAGGCGAGCATAGTGTGCGCGGCTGGAGCTGGTCGTTTCAAGGCCGCAGAGCGACAAAGCATTCCTATCAGGCTCTTGCCGCACCCAACTCGCCGGCTCGATCACCTTCGCTGTCTCCGTTGATTCGATGTACAGCATATTGCTGGTTGCTGTTGTTGTAGGAATGGGCGCGCCCATCAGGTTGGCCATCCGTTTGGGTCTGTTGGGTCAGATCCGCACGCATATGCCGCAACATGAGCTCGATCTCGCGAGGAGCATGTTGTGGTAGGACGAAGCGCGGGTTACGCAGCAGCTCGAACGCCGTCATCAACAGTCCCCACGGGTGAGGTCGCGCTGCGACCATCCTTTCGATCAAGACGCGGGCGATCTGCTCTTGAACCGTAACATCAGTCTCTGTGGTCTCACCGTAAAGGTGCAGCAGCAGGCAACTGAAATAGGCAGTGTGCCTGTTCGGATAGCGCAGCTGATTAGCGGCGGCAGTCAGCACCAAGTAACGGCCCTCAGCGTCCGCATCGGCCATGAGGTGTCTAAAGATGACAAGGCCGACATCCGTTCGAGGCTGGCTGTTGAGGAGACCGTCTTGAGCTGCTGCTGCTGCTATTCCCACATGAAGTACGAAGGCGTTGATCAACTCATAATCGTAACGCAACTCGCCCTTGCCGTAATCGACCGGCTCCGAGTTGGCCACAGGAGAGAACAGAGCCGTCTTTAAGCTAGACAAGAAGGAGGCAGGAGCTCGTTGGGCAAGATATGAATCCAAAGCACTCTTGAAGCCTCGAGACTGGCCCTCCAAACTATGCGTGTAACCGCGAGGGATGATTGGCAAAATTGCCGCCTCGGGAAGTCGATCAATGGTCACGCTTGCAGTGAATGGATCTGGAAGACGTTCTCGGCGTGGCGGATAGGCTGCGAGTACGATGTTGCGCAGCTGCACACACGAAACGGGGATTACGTCGCAAAGCGCCTGATGATGGGTGCTCAGGAAGTCAGGGAAGTCGTGTAGGAGCACCAAGGTGATGCGCAACAAGCCGCGGTATAGCTCGCGAGACGTGTCTTGCAATACTGCTGTGCGGATGAAGGGCGCAGCAAAGTGCACGAGACTGCTGTAGAGTCGCAGAAATGCGGCTTGAGCTTCGGAGTGCAGCGTGACTCTGGACGCGTCGCGCTCCAGAGGCATGCCTAGCAGCTTCGGCATGAACAATCTGTGGGACATGAGCGCCATCCAGGAGAAGGTGAAGCCTGGGAAGAACGACGGCTGCAGCGTGTTCAAAGTGTTCGCGATGGCCAGCAGTGCTCTCATGTACGTGTTGCCGAGCGAGGACGAAGCGGCATGGAAATCGTGCAAAAGACTGCTGAAGAGACGGAAGAATGGCTTCTGTTGGAAGTGCGCGCCAAGCTCCTCGTGCGATTGGGCCAAGACCAAGACGATGATTGACAGAATTTTGGTCAAGTAATGCGCTCTGGCCTGCTCGTTATCCGCACCACTAGGATCTGAATGATGCTTGATCAGCAAAACTACAAGCTTCGAAAAAGCGTCGATCGGCGAGAAGATGCCTGTTCCGAAGGTGCCGCCCAAGGCCTTTTGCTTGATGTAGCTGTCAATCCCGACTTCCGTGCACACCCTGTAGAACATGGAGGAGATATCTTCTCCTTTGAGGATGCCTTGTTGCTGCAATTGGGTGACGAAGTTGACGAACACTTTCTCTGGGTTTGGTGACTGCTGGAAGAGACGTACCCATTCCGCAAAGCAATAAGCGAGCTGTTCGCGTAAAGCAGAATTGGTGACGTCGGTCTGAGCTTTGTTCAGATGCCCAGTCTCGATTTCTGAAAGCAAGAATGCGCTCGCTTCTGTTGACTTGCCGAGGCGGTCCGCCTGCGCGAGAGCATCCAACGAATGCATGAGCTGACCGCGGGTGGCGCATGCTGGCTCCTTCAGGCACTCGAGCGCAAGGCGAGCAGAGAAGTCCACCACGCTAGACTTGAAGTCCCGCAAAATCAACTTGGCCAGCTGTTGGTCGTGCTCGACAATGTTGACAATGCCAGTCCGAATGAGTGTGGCGGCGACCGAAACGTTGAACTTGCGCTCGTCCTCTGCGTAGATAATCCACTGCGTCACTTCCTTCGCCACGCGTGCAGACAGCTCGCACAGACGCTCCAGGAGCAACACGTGCGCCTCGCGAGCAAGTCGGCTTTCCGACTTGTACAGTAGCTGGACCACCTTGTGCGAGAATGCGAAGGCGGTCGCATCGCGGCTAGTGGACGCAGCGGCTAGGATGGGCACCTGGCGGATGATGTTGCGCAAGCCGTCGTCCGGCGGCAAAGAGGCAAGCGATGCTGCAGGAGACGCCTGTTGAAGAAGCCTTTCAAGCTCCGACAGGAGGTGGTTAAAGCGCTCCAGGCTCTGTTGGGGCGATAGGCTACCCGCGACGAGCTGCCCAGGTCCGACGCTTGATTGTGGCGACACTCCGTTACCTTCTGCGGAAGGCTGATCGCGTTCGGCCGGTGCGTCAGGGGACGAAATCCCACTTGTCTTGCCAAAGTCATCATACACTCGAAGCTGTTCAGGCAGAAGACCTTCGGGCTTCAGGCGCAGGTAATCGGGCAGCGTGGCGACGTATTGAGAGGTGGTCAGGGCCTGACTATCCCAGTAGTAGCCCCTGCTGCGCGCGCGATGGTCGCGCCTGGCAGCGTACGCGCCATCCAGCCCGCTGTCGACCTCCGGCAAAGCTTTGTCCATGGCTGCGCGCTCCACAATTGAGCAGGCGAGTTCCAAATTGTCGCCCATGACAGACGTGAGAACGGATTCTGGCAGCGCTTGCTCTGTGACACCGCTCTGGGCGAGCAAGGAACGGGCTTGAGTGACCATGCTGATGCGAAGCGGCTCTTTGCAGGTGACCAGAGCGAGACTTCCTGCTAGATTCTGCGACATTTGGTGGGCAGCTTTGCGCATTTTCTCCTCATCGCCTTCCATTGCGAAATCCTTGAGCACCAACTCCCGCGAAGAGATCGATGCTATGGTGACTGAGCGCTCTACAACGGGAGCAGTGATCTCTCGGATGGCACGCTCGATAGCGACATGGATGATCTGCTTCAGAGCTGGGCTAGAGGACACCTCGGAAAGCTGTGGGCTGAAGACAAGGTACGCTGACAAATTCTGCAGCGTGAGCTCCAACGACTCTGAGTACGATTGGGCACCAGCAGCAGGAGCCTGTAGGGGTTCGCGTTGCGCTTGAGCATGTTGTTGAGGCTGCTGCAGCTGCTGTTGCTGCTGCTGTTGCAGAAGAGCGTGCTGTTGATGGTGCTGAGAAATCTGTTGCTGCTGTTGCTGCGACGCGAGGGTTGCAACTCTGCTGCGCTGAGCATCGTTTGGCATTGTGCGCATGCCGCCTGGACCATACGTGCCAGCATTTGCCATCGACAAGCGGTCAAAGTCCTGAGCAAGGTGCTGGGCTCCCTGCTGCTGTCCTTGGTGAGGATGCATATGCTGGGGCTGAGCCAAACGTTGCTGCTGCTGGGCGTATTGCAGCTGCTGTTGATTAGGCTGCTGGCCATATGGGCCTTGCTGCAGCTGATGAGGCTGCTGCTGGCGCGCGGCAAATTGCTGTTGCTGCTGAAGATGCTGCTGATCGCGTTGCTGCTGAAGGCGCTGCTGCTCGAGCATGTGTTGTTGCTGTTCCATTTCAAGCTGCGCAGCGGCAGCGAGCTCATCTGGTCGAGTTCGAAGCGTCGTCGTCGATTCGAGCTTCGTAAGGTCAATAGACAACGTCTTGCAAAGGACCTCGATCTCGAATTTGAGATTTAGCTTGAGTTCAGCGAAGTGGTAGAGCTCGGCAAGCAGCTTGAGCACAGACATGAGCCAAGGATTCGGCGGCACGAACACTTTGGATCGAGGACACTGCTCCAGCAATTTGCAAACAAAAGGGATCGCCACGATGAGACGGTTGCTGTCGTAGCCCTGGATGAGCAAGTCTTTGAAAGCAATGTTCCGGTGACGAATCGGCTTGTTGCGAGCCAGCGTCAGACCTCCCAGCCACGAGGCGAGGTTCTTGAGCAAGGTCCGTTCGGTCGTGGACGAGACAGTCTTGTCCGAATTGAGTAGTACCTCAACTTTCGACAGTGTCTCGTGCAGAATGTGGCGGAGGAGCATTGCAGCGGAATCCAAGCCATCGATGAATTGCGTGTACAGCTCGTGGTTGTTCGGCTCGATGCTCACCCGCTGCAGCACCAGATACGCAGAGAGCCAGTGATGGAGCGCTGGCTTCACCAATCGCCTCGCCTCGACCAGCTTCGAGTCGATATTGCTGGGCGAGAGATTGTTGATGATGAATAAAATTTTGTCGGAGACCTCCTCCGTTGGTTCCTCCTGAACTTCTGCGTCAGGCATCGGGTCGGCATGCACTGCGGTGAATGACAGCTTTGGCGTTTCGCCGGGCATTTCAGGCAAGACCGGCTCTGACGTGCTCTGTGAAAGATCTGCAAGCTGACCGGACTGGATGGCGCGCAAGACGCGCTCGATCTCAGGATGCGCCTGTTGCGGAGCAGGCAGTCCCAACAGCGCCTGTCCAAGTTGTGGCCACTCCGCGAGTCGCTCGCGAAAGCGAAGCAAGGCTTGCAGTCCAAATTGGAACATGCTTGACTGGATGGGCTCTCGAAGCGCATCCAGCACGTAGCGAATGGCAATACCTAGCGGTATGTAATCGATCAGCTGGTGCTGAATCAAGGATCCGAACACGACCGCCGTCATGGCAAGCTCGCGGGGTGGGTAGTACAGGTCGAACCACCTGTACTCGTCGAATAGGGTGTGCACCATGCAGGCGAAGACCTGGTGATCGCGCGCGTCACTGGAAGCCTTCGTTCGCTGCAGAAGGGAAACGAGATCCTCGATCCCGATCTCGTCTTCATACATTTTGCGGTACCAGCTGTCGGCCTGCCAGCAAAAGGGGGCAAGCATGCGGGTCTTCGAGTCAGATTGACATGCAGGCAGATGTACAGGCCAGGGGATGCTACTCACCTCATCATGGATGTCTTGAGCGAAAGTCGTCACTTGCAGCCCGGGCTCTAACGACTCGCTCCCAGGGGCAAGATTCATCAGACGGGGATAGACTTGCAAGCACAGGTTGCGCACCGTCTTGAACAGCGCGACGTCTTCAGCGCTCATCGTATCTCCATTCTGTCGCATGACGCGCAAGAAGGTGGCGACAGTCTGAACTGTCAGTGGCATGTACTGCTGCTCGGCTTGAGGGTCCTTCTTTGCCAGATCGTCCTTCGCTTTGGAATCAACGAATTGCAAAGCAGCTTGAACAAAGCCGCTCCCATTCTCTGTAATTTGATCTTGCAACCACTTGTCCAAGTTCAAGTACTCCCGACGGGAAGCCAGTGCTGCGACATCAAGCGCAAACTGAAAGGGCCTGATGGCTAAAAGTGCTTCAAGAATCTTGAGGTCCTGAGCCACGTCTAGCAAGCGCGTGACGTTCATAGGGTTCTCGCTGTAGTAGGTCCTAAACGCGTTCAGAAGATAAGTCCTATTGGTCTGCCACAATCGTGAGAAGACAAGCTGGTGGCTGGGGTGCCCAGAGAGGAACATCGACAGCAACTTTGAAGCCAGGTCCGAATGCATCGAGGTCCATGGTTGCTGTTGGGCGTCGATTGGCCTCAAATGTGTCAATTTTGCTGCATTCCTCGAGGTATCCATCTCCACACACACAAACTCACAGGGATCTGAACCAAAGCCATGAGGACTAGTTCCGCACTAGTCTTGACTGCCCTTTCCAACAGCTCCGTCACTGCGTGTCTGACCTCAGTATCATCCGTGTTGGCTATCAGCGTGAGCGTTTCCACTAAATCGAGCGAGTTCCAAGTGTTGCCTTGAACTTGTTGGGCTAGGCTCCGCACCGTCGCGTTTACGTTCGCTACATCTTCTTCGCGAACCACCCTTCGACCCGGGAGCGAGGCGAACGAAAACAGCTGAAGGTCCAGAGAGACTAGACCGCTCAAAATTTGAAGTTGGCGCAGGCGGTGGATCCAAGCGCCCCACAGGCCCAACACAGCCGGCGCTTGAAGGTCATTGGAAGCGGAATTGAGGAAGGAAGCGAACCCTCGCCAGTCGTTGCGGGGTGAGAAGGCGAGAGATGGAGCCTCATCCAATGAGCGGACTACGCGCGACCAATTGAGAGATCGGGTAAAGGATCGCAGAGCTGATGCGACGATGGCAAAATCGGTCGCTGGAGCTCCGCCGAGCTCCTCAGGTTGCACGACGAGAAGCCCTGCCAAGATCTCTGCCACCGTCCTCTCATCCACTGGGGAGGCGTCGACGCGGAAGCGCGATAGGATTGCGCGCACGACTTCAACTTTAGGAACTCCTGCAGGTCCAATATCTGCGAGAAAGCTGGCGACAGAGCGCGATGAACGAAGTCTGGCAAGCCAGGATGTTGGTAGACAGGCACAAGAAGAGATGCAATCAGTGATAAGACACGATCACGACGAGAACGAGATGCCAAAAGCATACGACTCACCTCAAGTCTGGCAGGGCTTGCATCACGGCATCAATCAAGACGTCTGGAGATATTCGCTCTGCGACTGCTCGAATGAGAGCGCGTTGATGAGGGCGCTCCAGGACAGAAGGTGTATCCTCCGATTGATCAGACAGAGCGAGGACGAGCGTAGCGGCCAGTCGTCCGGACGTCAAGTCGCTGGGGTTACCCAAGCTGCTCAAGGTCTGGTCCAAGATAGCGACAGGCGATGGGGAAGGTCGCCTGCCGTCCGCATTGGACAGGCCCGGCAGCCCATCATTCATCCTGTTCAAACCCGCAGCAATGAGCGGAGCACCTGCACCGCTCGCTGCTTGCTCTGCGCTCGCTGAGATACCAAGTCGAAGTGCCGGAGAATGTGATGCGGCTGCTGGATGAGCCGGAAGTGATTGCAGCTCCTCGATGAGATTTCGGAGCAGAGTTGGTGACAGATGGTAGGCTACGCTGGCCTGGCCACGATCGTGCCCCAGCTGCTCCAACACAAAGTTGCTGAGCCACAGTCCCGAACGTTGACAGATCTGGCCATGAAAGAGGCGGGCGGCATGGCCAGCGTTAGCGATGAGCTGTATTTGACTTTCCCATCTCTTTTGACTCACCTTTACAATCTCTACAGAATGTGCTGCAAAGGTGTGGCTGTCTGCAGTCGCAAGCAGGAATAGCACGTGAGTCTTGATGACCTGTGCCAGCTCTGCGTCCGTGGTTCGCTGGCTGGGAGCTGCACTCCAAAGCGCACCAGCCCTAGCGTCGGCTGTGCCAAAGGCAGACGTCGTTGTGAATATGGAAACGAGGTGTCGGACGGTATCGTCGACCGAGCCTCTTCATTCACGACTGTCGATTCCAAGAGACCGATGTGATCGTCACCTCTCGCCCGGAGCGCGGCCGAGACTCTGACAAATGCGATTTCGTAAGTTGTGTCGATCGTCGCTGTTTCGCTGGTGCGATCGAGGCGCTGAAGACCGCCGCCACAAAGATCCCTCTTTGCAGTGCAGCTCACGCTCCTATCGCCCTGGTTGCCGACGAGCAAGCTCGCGACCCTAGGGTCGTGGTTTCGTTTAGTAGAATAATGCGTCTATTCAGTCGATGCGCCGGCGAGTCGATGCGCAGCGGAACGCTCTCGTTGGTCTGGCGTAAGTGAGAGGATGATGAAGAGGGAAAACATTTACAACAAGGAGAGGAGCGATGCGTGAGCACGTGTCGAGTCGACAAGGAGCCGAGGCGCGTCTCGATGACCGCGTCACGAAAGGTGTCGGTTGGAAGACGGCCAGAGCTCAAAAGCAATCACGAAGATGATGATGACTCCTTCGAGCTCTGCGCTTGTGGGTGTTGCGCACGTAGTGAGTTCGTTGTTGGATGCCTGCTTGCTTGCTCGATCCCTCCTGGCGCTGCGATGCTGTGGAATCAGAGTTTCGTGAGCGTCGAGCTAATTGACCTGATCGCAGCGCAGCGGCTCATTTCCTGCTTCGAAGCGGGCGCGGTCTTCATCCAGCAGCAGCGTGAGCGGCGCGACGATGAGCAAGTTGGTCGAGCAGCAGCAGCAGCAGCAGCGTGACGGATGAGGACGCGTAAGGGCCGCTCGCTCGCTCGCCCGCCGCATGCGCGGCTGCCCCGAGCTTCGAGGAGCTCCTACCGTACGAGAGAAGCTCAAGGCTGCAGCAGAATACTCTCGACTGAAAGCTTCTTTTCACGTGGCCTCGCTGCCGCCTTCAACCTCCGCGCCGGCACGCGCACTCAAGGCTCATCAGACCTTTGAAACTCGCCCCTCAGACTCAACTCTCCTGGCCCGGCAGAGCCACATGCGAGAGTCTGGCTCACACTATGGGGGCCTGATCGACCATAAACTAGTCTAATTGCTACATAGGGGCGGTGATATAAATTGCGTCCAACAACGATGACGGGGTATCGCGGTGCAAAGGGGCTATAGGAGTTGGCGAAAGAGGAGACCTTCCTCCCTAGCCCGGTTGTCCACACGTCTGGCCAGTCCTACAGTCGGACTAAGAAATCAGGGTAACAGGGGTAACTTGCGTATCCGAGAAGAGCTGCGCAGGGATAGATGAACCCGC